TATATTAATCAATATCCACAAATACATTTGTAGTCTTTGACTCAGAGAAGACTGAAAGTATGGAATGTGCGTTTAAGACAAGGCATAGCAGCCTGATGCTCTCCAGAGCCTAGTCCCTTCGGACTGCAACTCCTATAAGCCCCAGCCAGCATTGGCATTGTCAGAGGTAACGAGGGTTATAATCCAAATTACCTGGAGAGCCTTGGGTTGCTGTCTCCTTGCTGAAGATATGAATGGGAAGGGAAGCATGAGGAACTGGAGTGCTTGAGAGTTGGACTATACGAGGGGCAGGATGTGGCTAATGGTCACCCCAGTGAGAAGTTACCACACTGATGGGGCTTCCTGGGGGAGGGAGTTGCAGGCTAAGCTGGCAGCATGTGAGGGGCGAGGAAACGGGCTGAGGTTGAGCCACTAGAGGCAGGATGTGGGACTCAGATGCTGGATCGATCGGGCAGGCAGGGCACGTGGCACTGGGTAAAACAAGACTGACCCTGGCTACTTCAGGGACGGACTTGTCCAGGGCATGGCAGCCCTTGGCGTTAGAGTTCAAGAAAAACTCTGGTGTGTGGATGGGAAGACTCAGAGGACAGGAGGAAGTTGAGGTATGGGTTATCTGTGCATGGAAATAACTGACTCAGGAATCTGTAGGAGTTTGCACTGGAGAGCGTGCTGGATTACGGAGAGAGCAGTGGTGACCCAAATGTCAAAAAGCCTACACAGTGTGGAATGTGCTTGTTTTGAAATACTATTTTGAAACCAGGGATGTGGAATTGCTCTTTTCTGAAATAACTGTTTTTTTAAAAAATGAAGATAAGGAGGAAAGTCTACCCTAAGTTTATTGTTGGTCTTTCATTAAGGCCTGCGAAAAAGTGGCAGAAAAATTGCATGCTCTTTTGTGAGATTCTGTCTCGTCCTAATTTAGGGATTGCCCAGCTGTTCATTTTGAAAGTTGTAAAAATAAGTGATAAAAATTTTGATAAGAGCTGACTGACCTGCTACTTTGAAACATAGAAAATTTGTTAATAGAGACGGCTATGGCTTTTACTGATATATTTACAGGAATTTGGCAGTGATATGTATATGTGGGTCACCTGAGAAATGTCACTTCACTTTTCCTATGCAGGTGTGCATGGGTATGTACAAGTACAGGCTAGACAATGACAGCCTGCCAGTGGATGCTTTAATTTGGATTTCTGCACCAAAGCCTAAATGATCTCTTCCAACTATAATTCTGTGCATCTGATAATTGGGGTTTTTTCTTATTGGAAGCTGCAATCAGTGTACCACCTAGTAAAATAAACACTTGTGACACTGTCACACATGACTTTGTACTTATCTGTTTAAAGCATTTATATATGGCTTCTCATTAAAAAAAATCTGCACTGTTACATAACCTAATGAGGAAAACATCGTATGTGAAATGACCTTCAGATACTTTAAGAATAGGACAAGCTGTTCTCTGGGGGTATCAGATGATAGGAAGATTGGTAATGAACCCCCCCTTCTCTTTTAATCATGTAGCCTTCTGTACTTACGGTGAAGGTGGCTGAACCTCCTGCTGTATAAACCTTTCTGTGTTTTTTCAAAAGTGAGCACTGTCGAATTTAGTAGTATAGTTCCACATAAAAGTGGATAGATTTTAAATTCTAGCTGTTGCATTTTATATTAATCAATATCCACAAATACATTTGTAGTCTTTGACTCTAGTCACTGAAATTTCTGTTTATGCCAATGATGTAGGTCCCTGAATTGGCACAACATTTATTTCTATCAGAAGAGTTACTAAAGTTAGGTTGTTGTGTTAACCTGGATGGTCTATATGTTTATTTTTGCGGGCAATGAACTAGAGAATTTCAGACTACTGCAGTCCTTTCGCTAATATCAGCAGGAAGCTTGCAAGACACAAGTAGGAGTCCAGGACAAAGGAAGAAATAAATAAAATTACTACTAATGAAGCTACTCTGTTATGGCCAACTATGCAAAAGACAGATTATTTACTTCTGTTATTGTTGATTCCCTTCTTTTCCTTCTTTTTTAGTGCAAACTGTCTCCAAATGATGTGCTAAATATTTTGCCATGTGCCTTACCAAACAAATCCCATATTTTCCCACTTTCATTGCAGGTCTTCTTCCTTCCTGTGGGCTCTGTACTAAAGTTTATGATGTAGTGGGTCTGTTATCTTCCATTTGTCTAGAAGAGAGAGAAAAACACTTCATTTACCATGACTTCTTTTTGTCTAACAACTTGCACTGCTGGGTTCTTGTGCAGTGTTATACACACACACACCCCTTACAGATCCATCTGAATCTTTTCCCTTTGCAAATGTAATGGATTCTTGTAATGGAGTGATTTATTTAGCCCTTTTTTTGGCAGGCTGATTGTTGTAAGAAGAAACCACCAGAAGCACTCAAAATAATTGATGCCCATCTACTTGAGGCTTTGGTAGTGAATAGCTGCATAAGCCCTAGCACCTTGTTTTGGAGCAGTGTACAGCAAGGATGTTCTACCAGCTTGGCAATTTATGGCTGCTGCTGTACAAGCTGGCATTAATACGATCTTCCAGTTACTCCAGGCATATCCTCGGAACTGGAAGTGAACAGTTCCATGAGTTCTTGTGTAAGCTCATTGTATTACAGGATAGGAATACATGGTGCCTTTCCTTACTTGCACGTAACTGTAGCACAAACGTGCCTTGGCAACTTCTTTTTTCTGTTGTCTGCCCCTAAAGTCATCTCATCTGTAGCTCATGAGTGCACTTAAATTGTCCTTACTGTACCAGTTTAGAAGAGCATTTCCCCCTTATTCCAGCACCATCCAAGGGCAACTTCAAGATTGTTAGATTTTTTCCATTATCTTGGAAGGTACAGTAGCTAGTTGGCTGGCAGTGACTAGGAACAGAAATGATGAGGGTAGGATAAGAAACAGACAACAGTGACAGCAATTTTAATGCTAGCATAATTTTTTGCCAACTTAAGGATGGATGGATATCAGCATAACTAGATATTTGGAGAAGGCGGCATTGATTTTTGGCCAGAAGTCTCATACGCAAGAAGGAGGGCATTTCTGCTTTATAATAACAAAGAACAAGACATATGCTGACTTGCAGTATTGAGCAGTTCCTGTTTTTGAATTTAGGGCAATGCCATAGAATCAAAGTATGTCAACTATTTTACCTTGGGAATTCTTACAACTATCTTGTGAAACAAGCAAATTTGATAATTTTCCTTTAGTAGCTGAGGGAGAACAGCTTATTTCTTAATGGCTAATTGGATGCTTGAACAAATGGACTCCAAGTTATGTCCCTCAGAGATGCTGCAACTCTTCTTCCTTTCATATTTATATGAATCTGAATTTGGTAGAAGCATATACTAGCATTAATATTCTATGAAGATCATATTTTAATTGTATGTTTGGTGATGTAGGGCAAAAGCACTACCTATCCAGGTACTTCCTTCTAAACAACTTTCTTCATCTAAAGCTAGAATAGGTATGTTGCAATCTTATGCACAGTTATCAGTGAGTTAATTCCATTTAAGACAGTAGAATTTCTCAATAGACATACATATTAGCACTGTTAATAGGATTATTGCTTTAGGAAGACAGGAACTTGGTTACTACTGAATCAGACCATTGGTCCATCTAACCCAGTGTTGATGATGTGCCCAAATGGGCTTTTGGGATGTCCGGTCATACTTGACACTGACACAGATCTGGGTGTCCCATGCTGGGGTTTCAGCCTACTGTAAGTCAGCTCCACCTTTTAGGCATGTCTCTCTCAGAATCAGCTCTAGAAAGCTGGAAGTGCTTCAACAATTTCAGCACCCAGCACCATAGGTATTCCTGCTAGGAAGAATGACCTCAAGATAACCTACCAAAACAGATCCCAGAATAGTCACCATGACATCCCTACAATTTTGCCCCCAAATATAAAGTAATTTAGAATCTATATTAATCCTAACCCCAAGGTAGTCATCGTAACATGTCTACTGGTTCAGCCCCAAGACACTAAACACAATTCAATCAAATCTGCTACATTCTAGCTCCTCACAGGCATGGCAGCACCATTCCACTCAGCATGCACCCCTTCGACTTCTTAAGTGAATTATAACATGAGAATCAAGAACCCATCAATACTAGATTGTTTGGTCTCTTTACTAGCTTAAATGAAAACTTACAATATTTAAAGTTGACACCTGAAATTGTAGTCTAAAGAGGGAAGCAAGGAAAAAAAAGGGAGAAATTTTTAGAGAAGATCTTCCTAAGAAGCTCTTTGATTGGCCATCATCCATGGCAGTTGATTTTTCAGGGCAGGGCTGGGTGAAGAAAGGATGCTGGGTAGTATGGAAACCAACAAGGCTGGTTCATCTCCAAGATGCCAGATGATTTCCTCCTCCTTGCAGTGTCTTCTCTTTGTTTTAAGGTTCAGCACTTCATAGAGGTGTTCGACAGATTTTCCCCCAATTGGTTCTTTCACCCCATTTCTCCATATGTGACCAAGACCGCTTGATGCCCTGTTTTCTTTACTTTCTATCTGTCTGAACCTATGATAAATTAAAATTTTCTCACTGCAGGCCCTTTGACAGACTGTGTCAGAGCACTTCTACTTCTTTCTTTGGCCCTTGGTGGTTGGCTAAGAATGCTTGGAGTCTGGGGTCCAAACTGCATCTGTTAACTGCAAGATCTGATAAGGATTGAAGGGGGGAGGAGGTTGTAACGATCTACATCAGATCATTTTTGTCATGGTGTTTCTGCCAAAAGCAAGATTTTTGGCCTATCAGTGATCCTGACTGGCATGGCTGTTCAGGATTCAGGCAGGAGCTTTTCTAGTAGTGAGTGGAGAAGCTAGGAATTGAACCTGTGAGCTTCTGAATGTAGTGTGTCTATTCCACAACTCGCTATGCTATCTGCGTGTGTCTACAAGGTTTCTTGCAAATAGCATCTATGGGGAAGTCTAGGATTTTAATTGGTAACATAGCAAAGTGTTCCAGTCCAGATAGGTTCCCCTGTGGTTAATATTTGCTAAAATATAGATGGGAGATTTAATTATGTCTCTCCATCATCTTACCAAGTCCAGCCTAGAGGCTGTATCTGAAAAATCCCTATTAGTAGCATTGTAAATCTAAAAAAAAAAAAGCCTTCACATCTGCATTTCTTTTTAAAGAAGACCAGTAACAATACAGGATTCTGGCACAAAGCAGAAGATTAGCCAACCTGTGTTTAGAAATGTCTAATGAATTAAAAAAAAACAACCATGTTTATAGCTGGTTTATTCATTTGCCCATAATTCTGTTCCCCACCCCACCTGTTAATGTCTATCCTAAAGCCATCTTCTTGTAATATAATCCTATTAGCTCTTCTACCAATTGTAATAGTAACGAAAATCAACAGGTTTGCAGATTGCTTCTGCTAGCAGACTGAAATCTGTTACTATATCATATGGACTAGGCAACCTGACACAATCTATAGCATTTGGCCCTGATGCTGAAGTTGATGAGTCCAAAATATCTGAATGATGTGAAATATCTGACTTAACTATTGGCGTTACTTAGGTCTTCATACCTCCTTCAGTTTCTCATTTCCCTCGTGCCCAGACTTTTCCTCC